TAAATATAAGGTATAATATAGGTCCTAGTACACTTCCTTGGGGCACCCCAGCGAGAATTTGTTGTATGTTTGTGTATTCATTCTCATACTTTACCTGGAAGTTTCTGTTGGTGATATAGGACTTTAAGAGTATATAGTAATTTGTAGGTAAATTTTGTTTTAGTTTACATAATAAGCCTTTATGCCAGACTTTATCAAATGCCTGACTTACGTCCAGAAATACCGCCGAGCAGTACCTATTATTTTCAAAGTCCTCGTTGATTCTCTCTACAATTCTGTGTACCTGTTGTATCGTTGAATGCTGTTTTATAAACCCAAATTGGTGTGGTGGTATTAGTTTTTTGTTTTCTAGTATAGGCATTAGCTTAGTAAGTGTCAGCTTTTCAAAAACTTTGGATACCACTGGATGAAGACTAATAGGACGGTAGGACTGTACACTTTCTGGTTCTTTTCCTGGTTTTAGTATCATTGTTATTTGTGCTAGTTTCCATTGTGATGGGAAGTGGCCTAATCTCATTATAGAGTTGAATAACTGTGTCAGAAATTGGAAGCCTTTCTCTGGGAGTTGCTGAAGAGTTTTTCCCGTAATCAGGTCGTATCCTGGAGCCTTTTTTGGATCGATGTTGTGTTGTATAATATTTTTTACCTCATTTTTTGTGAATCTTTTTTCGGGAAGTTCTAGTTGATAAGGTTTTGTGAGTATCGAAATAATTTCTTCTTCAGTTTGTAGTGAGTAATTTCCCTCATTTGGTGTAAAGACTTTTTTAAGGTGTGTCGCAAATGTTTCGGCTTTTTCTAGTGGACTTCTCGCCCATTGTCCTGTTTGTGTTCTTACTGGTGGGACTGTATAGTTCTGCCTTCGTAGAGTCCTTGTAGCCTTCCATAACGAGTAGTCAGTGGCTTGAGTTGCATCTAGTTTTTGTAGGTATTCTTGAAAACTTGCATTTTTTTCTGCCATTATCAATTTTTTTAGGTCTTTTTGTGCTTTATTAAGGTTTGTTTTACTTTGAGGTGATCTTGTTAATTGCCATTGTTTTCTGTTCTCAATTATTTTTCCATGTATTGTATTGGAACAGTTTTTGTTCATATGTCGATGTGTAGGTAATGGTGTGGAGTTCCATGCTGCTTCCTGTAAAACTGTGTTAAAATGTTCTACTGCGTGTTCGATTTGTTTATCTGTCTTTAGTGGGATGTCTAAATTGATTTGATTGTCTACTTGATATCGAAAATAACTCCAATTTGTTTTGTTGTTGTGTAGTATACAGCTCCTTTCTATTTTTGTTATGTTTTTGCTTACAGTTATGATAACAGGTGAATGGTCAGAGGATAAATCGTAACAGGACTTTGGTTTAAAGTATTTTTCATTTATTCCTCTCACTATAGCAAAGTCGAGAAGATCTGGAATTTTTGCAGGGTCTGTAGGCCAGTATGTTGGTTCCCTTGTGGTTACTATGTTTAGATTATCCATGTGTATTTCTTTTTGTAGTTCCCGGCCTTTGGTATTAATAAGTCTAGAGCCCCACATTAAATGCTTTGAATTGTAGTCTCCGCCACAAATAAACCTAGGTCCAAGTGTATCAAAAAAGGTTTTAAATTCTGGTTGTTTAATTGAATGTTTTGGTGGACAATATACAGCTGAAAAAGTTATAGGTCCTGTCCAGTCTCCTACAACTACATTTGTGGCCTGAATATGTGCTTTTTGATAGTGAGTTGTCTGGTAATGTTTGATGTTGTTTCTTATAATGATTGCTGTCCCACCATGTGCAGTTCCATCTGGATGTGTTGTGTGATATACTTTGTAGTTGTGAAATTTTATGAAACTTTTTTTCGTGAAGTGTGTTTCTGAAATCAGTATTATGTCTAATTGATGATTAACTATAAATGCATACAACTCGTGTTTGTGTTGTGTCAAGCCATTAGCATTCCATATGGTAAATTTTAGTGTATTAGCCATTAGTTCATTTTTGAGACAAGTGTTGTTAGTAAGTTTAGCATGGTGCTCATTTGTTCCATAAGCCCTTTCATCATATTCTTTAACTCCTGCATGTCATTTGCCTGAGTGACCATTGTAGTATCTTGTTGGTTGGTATTTATCATTTGAGCATATGTAGGTCTTTGTGTTGTACTTATATTTGTTGTAGCCACTGGTAGCTGTTGGTTTTGTAGTTGATTCTGTGACTCTTTCTTTCTTAAGGTTGGAAATCTTGCTTCTTGCAGTTGTTTATGTACACTGCATCCTCTATAATTCGCTGGATGGTTTTTACCGCAAAGTACACACTTTACAAGATCAGATCGAATTTTCTTAGGGCAGTCAGCTGTTTTGTGATTTAGAGCACATTTTACACACCTGTATTGATGATAGCAGAAATTTTTTGTGTGACCATATCTTTGACATCTGGTACATTGTACTAATTCTCTTTTTAGTCTTGGGGCTTCGACATCAGTTTTTGCGTTGAGTAAATATTCTATCTGATAAATTTCTTTATTATTTTCTTGCATTTTCAAGTCCACAAAAAATAGCGGTAGGGGTTTTTTTGTAGTTCTTTGAAGTATATTCGTTATTTGTAGAACGATATGTCCTTGGCTCTCTAGTTCTTTTTTGATTTCGTTTATATCCACTGTGGGATGAAGATGACGAATCACTACTCTAAAGGGTTTATCTTGCTTCTTACGATATGTATGATATTCGGTTTTTTTCTCATCAAGTGCTTTTATTATACTGTCGTATATTTCAATTGTTTGGGCCTGTACCTTGACTTGTTCTTCATTCAACACTCTGATTAAATGTTTGTCTTTGGCTATAGTGTTTAATAGTTCGTTTAATGGTTGGATGTATTTAACACCGGCAATAAATATTGGTGGGGGCTTCTCTTCCTGTTTTTGTTTTTCCTCTTCAGTATCTGCTTCGTGTGTCTCTTCATTGATTAATACATTAAATTTATTTGCTGTTGGTGTGTTGAGCCAGTAGTTATCTATCTTGGTTTGTTTAAGTTTGGGGTGTTGTTCCGGACTGGTTCTCCCACGTTTTTTTATTTGGTACTATTTGCCATTCTTCATCATTTGCTTTCGATGTGCTTGGGGGTTGATATTGTGGTAATGTACTTTGGACTGAATACTGGTATTGAGGTTGATATAACTGCATTGGCTGGTTTAGCTGGCTTGGAGCGAAATTTTGCTGGATTTGTGATGCGGGATGTGGTCCCGTTTGCATTTGTTGTGGAAAATATCCTAGTTGTTGAACTGTTAAGTTTTGGTCGCTGAGGTTCATCTGGCTAGATGTTGAACATTGAGAGTATGGAAATGGATATTGATTATATCCGTTCGACATTGTGGTTTAACTATTAATATTAGTATAAGATGTTACCTTTGATTTGTGGATTCCAAAAAATTAGCTTCGCAACACATTTTTGACACAATCGCCAGCACTAATATTAATATAGTTACTTTATTTTTATTATTTAATTTGTTTTGGAATAATTATTTAGGTTGATTTAAATATATAAAATCTGTTTTGTATCACTACACCAGATTTATTTTTAATATTTCAAGTCCATTAAGGTATAATTAGCTTTAAATGGTAAAATTGATAACAGTAATTGTTTTATCTACAACCGTCCTCGATCAAGTTTGGACGACGACTACGAGATTAAAAAAATAGTATCAAGAGAGTATTAGTTGGAGATTTAAAATTATATTATGTATATGGAGATTAGAAGAAGAAATTAAAATTATAATATTTATATGGTGATTGGAGATTGGAAGAAGAAAAAATAAGCTTATTAGAAAGAAGAATAAACAAGAAATCAATTAATAAAGAAGAATATTTTGCGAATTTATAAATGCTATTGAGAAGAAAATATTTTAAAATGGTGGAAGCTGGTAATTAAAACATTGGAGTGTATTTGGAGAAGCAATTTCACAAATAGAAGGATAACCAAGGCTGATAACGAAGATATTGAGTGGTGAGTAAACCTATTATATTGGAAAAAAACAGTTTCACTTAGGCATTCAGTGACAGAAAGGTTACAAGTTTCGTTAATATAATTTAATTCTTGTAAGACTTTCAATTTTAAGATAGGTGGTTCTAAATTTATATTGTCTATATTAGATATATATGTGTGTTTCATAATAATTATAATAAAGATAATTTACAAAATTACTTACAAATATATATTATATATATATATATATATATATATATATATATATTATATATATATATATATATATATATATATATAGAATATTAAACTCCCCAGTCTTCCGTGTTGAACCGCGTCGATACCTATTGGGCCTAGCTTTCGACATCCTCTCTAATGTATTCCTCAGGGCTTCCAAAGTCTCAGTCTCCCAAGCTCGGCAAAATGGAAGTTCAATGGTTCAATACGGAAGACTGGTGAGTTTAATATTAATTTTTCTAATAGTATTAATCTTAGCTCTAGGTTTCTCATATATATATATATATATATATATATATATATATATATATATATATATATATATTATAGCAAGGTGTTTATATACAGTAGAAATTGTACAAAGGATGTTAAGTACAGTATGGTATGTCAAATGACATTTTACATCAAATTCGTGTCAGTTCAAGGAATCGCAATGTAATGGCAAATGAGAGATACATAACCAGGTTTTAGTTTTGATCGAAGACATATATTTCATCCTGTGCAGCAGTATGTTAGGAATCCTATCGCCTAATCATGAAATAAGGAACACCTTCAATCGAGAATTGGAACGTAAAAGTGAATTTGCACGAGATACATTGAACCTATTAGTTCGAACGAATGTGCCAATGTTAATACAGTGAAATGCAGGCTAGGTTAATAAAACTAACTGACCACAAATAAGGAAGTTGCGGTCCATGTTAAACAATTTTTCTGCAGACAGTTCTCCAATTAACTGCTGCCTATCGATAATTGCCGTATTTCTATCGACAAAACGAATGAATTTATTTTGTTTTCGTTAGACATATAAAAGCATATACTTACTTTCTGCGTTAGCAAGGCAATCTTTACGTGAGTTCCCACAAATACTAGTTGTATTTTCACCTAAAATTAATCATTAAATAAGTAGGCAAAAAAAATTTGTAATCAATTAACTAACGGGGCATAAAGAAGTTAACACATCCACATTTTTGTAACGTGTAATTTGTGAGACATTCGAGAAAACAATTTTCCTGAGTGTAGGTTACGAAATATTCCAAATTCCTCTCGTCGCTAAAAAAGCATTGTCTATCCTCTATCTTATATTTTTTGACAGTACTGGAGGTTGTCACTAAATTTGGCTGGAGAATTATTTGGGAATTTGTATCAAGTGGAAGAATAAAAAAATCCTTTTTTGTCTGAGGAATGGTACTCGGTAAATGGACTGATATCTGAAACAAAAAAATATTTTAATACTTATTTAAGTTTGGTTAGTCGGTCAATTTTTATATGTTTTTTAGTATAAAAACCTCATACGATAATTGTTAATTAACCAATGATACATTGACTAGTAATCCTTTGCCTTGATTTGCCAACTCATATCAAAAGTTGTGAATTATTTTAATTACTATTTAACTGGGAATAAGCCACAATTAAAGATAAAAATACGTTTATTAAAGTTTTAATTTCTACTTCGGAAATCGTTCTCAAAATACAAACAGTAAATTTACTGTTTGTATTTTGAGAACGATTTCCGAAGTGGAAATTGAAACGTCAATAAATGTATTTTTATCTTTAATTGTGGCTTATTCCCAGTTAAATAGTAATTATTTTAAAATGCCACAAGAAAATAGCTTCAGAACAATATTGTGAATTATTGTGGTAAATCGATTTGTATCAACAGCTATTTTAAAAAACTTTTGTTTGTACATAACAGTCCATTCTTGTTTTACGTAATTTGTCTACTCCCTATTCCATATTTGACTTTATTTTTCCGTTTAATATTAGTGGATAATATAATATTACACCCACATAAAATATATTCTATACTTTGCCCTTTTACTCACGGCTTCCACAAATGTGGACATACATTTCTACGCGCTCAGTTGTACGAAATTATAAGAGTATGACTGCTCATGTTGTCCACGTTAAGGGACCTCTAAATATTCCTTATTCATGCACTAGACCCCATACGTTGGCAAGTAGAAGAAACGACCAGAAAAGTTTTAGTAAGATTCTGGCCACTGTGCAGATATCTATACCGCGCAAAGAACAGTAATTTATTTTTAGACTAGGTGACTCACCCACATGTTGTAAAAATTATTATATGTTCGAAAAGGTGCATTTTTGTGGAATACGTAGTTGTAAGTGGAATAAATTGATTTTTGGCTTTGTATTCTTACTGAAAAGTGACGTCCTCACTTGTGGACTCTGTGAGTAAACGGGTTCTTCTAGAGTAGGTAAATATAACCTAGTCCATTCATAGTACTTTTTGGAATAAATATATTTGTAATATTTCAGTAGCCAGCATGGACTTAAAACGACCTTTGACCCATGAGCAGCTGCTTAATATAATAGAAAATCTTTCAGATATTGAATATATGTCAGACGACGGTGATGACATTGATGCTTTGGAGCAGATATTTGAAGATTTGGAAGGTGAAAATATTTATTTTGAAGTAATATTAACAACTAATAATTATTTATTTTCAGAAGAAACTGAAGAAGTAAACTTACAAACAGGAAATAGTGGTCCAGATAAACTTAATATTGAAGATGAACCTCTCGCAGTAGAAGTGGAGCCTGTGGGCCCTGTGGCCGCTGCAGGACCAAGCACTTCTCAGGCATTTTCTTAAGGTAAGATCAGAGTTCATGATTACCTTATAAATAATCATCTTACCCCTAAGGATGATATCAAATGGCGTACCAAAGTGAGATATCTCACTCCAACCATCCAGTGGTTTGTAGAAGATGTAACGCCAGTTGTAGAATTGGAGAGCCCTTATGCTATCTTCTGCAAGTACTTTACAAGAGATTTATTTGAACGTATGGCAGAGTTTACAAACCTGTATGCTGTACAGAACCAAATACGATTTTCCCCAACGAATGTAGAGGAAATGCAAATTTTCGTTGGTATACATATACTTATGGGAAATTTACATTATCCTAGAATCCAATTTTATTGGGATGTATACTTTACATTTTGTGGATACAATAGATAACGTTGAGCATCAGGATAGGTTTTGGAAAGTTCGTCCTTTGTACGAAACAATACGCGCCCGTTTGCTGTCACTTCCATTGGAGACAAATCTGTCAATTGATAAACAAATAGTGCCGTTCAAAGGATCACTCAATGTGAAGCAATATATAAAAAACAAACCAAATCCATGGGGAATAAAAATATTTGCAATTTGCGGTGCAAGTGGGCAGATGTTCGATTTTATAATTTATCAGGGAGCTAAAACGGAATTGGATCAAACACAAATGTTTTGAAGCTGTGTGATCGCATCACAGAGGATAATTGCAAAGTCTATTTTGATAATTATTTCTCTAGTTATTGGTTGTTACAAATTCTGCGCCAAAAAATATCTTTGCCGATTGTACTGCACGGCAAAATAGATTCAGTAGCCCTAGCTTCTCTGCTGATAAAGTAATGAAAAACCATGGACGTGGTAGTGCAGAAGAAATAATCAGCAACGATGGGGAGGTAATCATGACAAAGTGGTATGATAACAAACCTGTAATAATGGCATCTAATTATATAGGAATTGGGACGATCGACAAGTGTAAACGATGGGACAAAACAAACAAGACCTATATAGAAATAAATAGACCACAGGTAATAAAGTATTACAATTTGTCAATGGGAGGTGTTGACAAATTCAATTTCTTACTAACATTGTACAGGACCTTTATTAGGTCACGTAAATGGACATTGCGAATGTTCACACATGGTATAGATTTAGCCTGTACAAATGCATGGCTAGAATATAGTAGGCAAGCAACAAATTTGCAAATACCAAAGCAAAGAATCTTAGATTTGGTGCACTTTCGGGCAGAAATTGCTGAAGTTCTTTTGACTATAGAAAAAACAGTCAATAAAAAAAGAGGACGACCGCTTTCGATAAGGCCTGAACCAAAAACACCTAAAAGAAAAAAAATTGAAGTACGTCCAGTGAAGGAAGTAAGATTGGACAATGTAGGACATTTACCTTCTATTGATAAATTGAAAAATGCTTCGCGTTGCAAGAAACCCGGATGCAAGGGAAAATCTCGTACATCTTGCCTCAAATGCAAAGTTCATTTATGTTTGACCAATATTAACAATTGTTTTGTGGAGTACCACAGTATATAAATCATGTATAATGTGCATTGAATAAATATTATCATTGTTCTCATTATTTATTTTTTCTCTAACCCACAGTCTTTTTACCCCGTTATCTCACAATGTCCTCATGTGTGGACATGCTATTTTTTAAAAATGGAAATACTTTTTGACTTGGAATAAACTCCATAAATCTTAAATAAATTCAAGTAACCAATATTGAAAATTTCAAATTTTTAGGCTGAGTTTAAAAAAATCATGAGCGAAAGGGCTAGAAAAAGGACCAATGTCCAAAATGTGAATAATGAGATAACATCACTACTAAAATGGGCCAATTGCACACATGTATCAGAAAAATAGCCAATGTCCAAATATATTTTAATTTTTAAGTTATTTTTATCATAATTTGGCCCAAGTCCAAAAAAGGTAAATGTAAATCTCACTGGAGTTTGGCCTTTAAATTATAATTTTAAACAGCGCCAATGTCCAGCTTCCTGGATATTGGCCGTTTACTTATTTCTTTCATGGACATTGGCCCTAACTAAGTTATTAGTGACAGTTGTTTTTCTGACCTAAAAAATTTTACCAGACTGTGGTGTGATGTTTTGAATTTCTTGTTGGGGTATAATATTGTACTTCACATGACGTCTTTCAATGCCTGAATTATAATATAGGTATAATATAGTATTTATTAAGTATAGTATGTACATTAGCAAGTACGGAATAATTATAATATTATTATATTAGTAATATTTCACTAATTGACATATTTAAATTCTTTAATAAAGTTAATGTTGATTAAAACTGGCTGAATAACAAATGTCCAAGCCAAAAAGAAAAGAAATGATGAAAATTATTTGACTTTTTTCAACATGACGGATGACGATCTTCCTCCACATTATGCTTTACTTGGTTAATATTTAGACCAACATTTTCAATGGCATTAGATTAAGAGGAAAGGCAGCATCTAATAGCCTACTCGTTTGCTACATTTAAAACCGTTCGATGGTTCAGGTGGCGTTTTACGCAGATTATCAAGTGCATGACCTATCTTGGGTAAGGAAAAATTCTTGATGTCATAATTGCAGACGATTTTTTTCAAATTATTTAAATAGAGCATGCCATATATCCTCGTAGCTTTCCCTGTCTGTATACGACTTCCTGGTCACCATATACAGCAACTATCGAGAACCATCTTCTAATCTCAGTACTCTTCCAACTTTGGGCTGCTGGTTTTTTAACTCGTCCAAACGACCGAATTTCTTATAAAATACGGATGAGATTTCTTTAGTCATCTCAAGATCTTGGGCAGCACAGTCGGCTAGAGAGACGTTATGCGGAACACTAAAAAGATCCTGCTGAACTTCTGTGGTCACGCCGAATTTAGCACTCTTTTCTTCTACATAATTTGACATAAATGTATTATAAAGATAACCGGCGACCAATATTTAGGTCGTCGGTTATCTTTGATCTAATGTTGAAGGGTTCGTGCTTCTTCTGTTTCATTTGAGCCAACATATGGTGCAAGACGATTTATGTGAACTACTTTTGGTTTACCTTTCGGCAACTTCTTAATTCGGTATATTACGTCATTTATTCTCTTTTTAATGTCATACGGACCTTCCCATTGTCTTTGCAATTTAGGAGACAAACCTAGACGACGTTGTGGATTATAAAGTTAAACAAGATCACTTACTTCACAGTTTTATTTTTGCATCGAGAATCGTATTGATCTTTCATTCTATCACGGGCTAACTGGATGTAGGGCAAGTTCATGAATGTTGTTCATTCTTAACTTCAGACGGTTGACACAATCTTTGCTTGCAACATGTTCTTAGGAAGATCGGCAGTCAAACTCTAGGTCGCAGGGCAAACGAACTTCACGACCTAACATCAGACAGGTTGGAGTCTGGCCTGTAGTTTCAATCACGGCCGAGCGGTATGCCATTAAGAATAAATGAATGTGCTGGTCCCAATCTCTTTGATGTTCTGATACAACTTTGGACATGTGTTTAGCCATAGTTCGGTTCGTCCTCTCTACCATTCTATCTGATTAAGGATTCAGGGGTGTCGTTCTGGTCTTATTGACACCAATCAATTTACAAACGTTTTGGAAACAGTTTTACT